GGAGGGAGGCCCGGGAGACTCAGAGGAAGCGCGGGGCCGGGGTGAGTAAGAGTCCGGACTGGCCCCGAGCAGGCAGGACTCAGTTGGGTGGTAGGGCGAGGAGGGGGGCGACCCGCGGGGCCAGGCGGCGGCTGTTCTCCCCCCCGGGCAGCGGGACTCGGGAGCAGCCGCTGCTGCAGCTCCCACTGCCGCGGGGGAGGAAGCGGCCATGGCGCTCCGCGGCTGCAGCTCTGGCGCCCCCGAACCCCCCGAGCCGGGGCCTGCTGCGGGGACCCAGCAGCGCGCACGCTGGGCCCAGCCCCTGGCCAGTCACGTCTGGGCTGCTGCCCACCTGGTGCAATCCCGCGGCGGCCCCGGGGCGGAGGCATGGGTCCCTTGATGACCTGTGACCACGATATCATCTGTGCCTCAGTTAGGAGCTTGGCTGACTGGGCTCAGTGCAGCCCAAAGGACTCACACGTGGGATGAGGCCGTCAGTCCCGCCACGGGTTTAATAGGCAGCAGGTTATAAAATCCCCAAACCCCGACCCGCTGGCTTGAGGGCCCAGTTCTGGGAGTAGGGGGGGGGTCACCCAAACACAGGGCCGGCTCCAGTGTTTTTGCCGCCCCAAGCAGGGGGCAGAGGGGGGAGAAAAGAAAAGGGGGGAAAAAGCCGTAATCGGCGGCACTTCGGCGGGGGCTCTACCGCTGCCGTTTCATTCTTCGGCGGCAAGTTAGCGGCAGGTCCTTCCCTCCGAGAGGCACTGAGGGACCTGCTGCCGAATTGCCGCCGAAGAGCCAGACTTGCCGCCCCTTTCCGTTGGTCACCCCAAGCACCTGCTTGCTGCACTGGTGCCTGGAGCTGGCCCTGCCCGAACCATCTCCCTGACTAGCTAACGGAAGGACGGTGACTCACAGCTCCACGCCGTATCCTCCCGTTCAGAGATGGCTCTGCACTGCAGAGGGCTGATGATCACTGCTGGCAGGTGTCCTCGTCATGCAGGGTCAGGCTGCTGCTGCTCCCCGGATTTCTCCTCCCCACCAAGGGGTGCACGGCTCAGGGGGCAGGTTACTAAACTAGCCTAAAAATCCTAACTTCAGTCTCCCATCCCAGTGCTCAACCACACTCCCAGCAGGCGGCAGCCCTGGGCCAGCAGCCAGAGCAGGGGTGCCCTGGGGTGGCTGATTTTCCCTAGGGAGATGGGGGGCTAAACTCAGCCAGGCTGTGGGGGGAGTTTTCCCAACAAAGGTCTCTAACCTGGGAGTCACCTTCCCCCCAGGGACAGTGCCTCTCCCTGAGCTACCGGCACACAGAGCCCCAGGGACCTGGGGAAGCACCTTCTCTGCTCTGGCTGTGTCACTGCAGTGCATCTTGCGAGTCCCAAGCCTGTGGTGCGTTATGGGAGATGTAGTCCAGCCAGGAAGCCTCGCCCATAAGGAGGAACCGCGGCATGAGGCACCAAACTGCAGCTCAAGCAGCGGCATGTCAATATTGAACCCACCTGATCTCAGCTGGGCCTCTAGGCTCTATGGTAATAGAAATAATAACAATAATGGAAAGTTAGTCCAAGGGTCACAATCTACTGCCAATTTGCAGCCTAGAATGTGTCTGTTCTGGGCTGTAAGGAGACAGTTGGGCTCTGGGCAGAAGATGCCGTTTGCTGCTCTGTCCCTGTTTGTAACCTTGTTTACTTGGGCAGCAGGGGAGACACTGATAGTTTCTCTTTGTTAGTACAGGAGCTGTTTTCACACTAGACTGGGCAGTGAGGGGACGATTCAACTTCAGAGGACATCTAAGTCAATGGAAACTTTTATTAACCCTGCACTAGTAACCCAGCTGCGATTGGCCCCATTGTGCCAGGTGCTGCACAGACACACAGGGAGAGACAGTCCCTGCCCCCAAAAGCTCACAATCTAAATAGGCACAACAATCAAAGCAAAAGAGGTGAAATCACTTGGCCAAGATCATACACAGATCTGTGGCACAGCTAAGATTTGAATCCCGATTTCCTACCCATTAACTCACGCTGCCTTTCCATTAATCACGCTGGGCGCTGGACTGGCCAGTACCAGGGGCTGGGAGTTTCAAAGGCGTTGTTGGCATTTCAAAAATTGAAACATTTCCGCTTGCTAGAAAATTTGGGGCAGGGGGAAATTTTCCTAGTGTCCCCCCCCCCCACCAACTTTTCATCAACGTTGGGCATTTCAGTACAAGTGTCATCAGAATGTAATATTAGAAAAATGTAGCGGTCAATAAATGGAGAAATATGGCTGGGGATTTTTCCCCTAAATACCTTGTTCCCATCGGCATGCTGACATGTCAGACAGAGCTGGCTGTTCGCAGCGGGGTGGTGGGACTGGGCGGGAGCTCACAGGTTCTCAGAGGGGAAGGCTGCCTCAGTGGTTTAGGTGCTAATCTGGGACTCAGGAGCTCTGGGACCAGTTCCTGGGTCTTGCACAGATTCTATGTGATCCTGGGCTGGTCCCTTAAGGCTGGAATTCCACAGGGGTTTAGGTACCTAACAATGCAGCTAGGCACCTAGCGGGTTGTTTTTAGGCACCAAATGCTTATTGAAACCAATGGGAATTGGGCACCTAGGACCTAGGTTCTCAAATGTATTTAGGTGCCGAAAACCTAAAGGAGTTAGGAACCTAAATCCTGTCGAGGATCTGGACCTAGGTGCTTCTGAAAACCCCATTTGGGCCTATCTGCAGCTTTAGGTGCCTAAACCCCTTTAATAATCTGTCCCCATGAGCCTCCCCTGCATCACAGGGAATGTGGGTGAGGGACAGAGACAGCAAGTGATGGGGGCCAGATAAACTCCGCAACACACAGGCTGTGCCCCTCACCTTGGGATCAGGGTGGCTGCATTGGCGGGGGAGGCTTCTGGGAGCCCTGTTTTGACTGAACCAACTTCCATAGCAGCAGAGAGCCCCGGACGCTGTGACCACCAACCTGACGACCACACGGCTACAGCCCAGCGTCTCAGCTTCCTGTGTGATCTCACACCCCAGCCCACGCAGCTCCCGGCCCCTCCTCTCACAGGGGCATGATGCAGGGCGAGGAGGACTACACAACATTGAACCTGCAGCCCCAGAGGGGCGGCTCAGGTGGCTTGTCCCCAGCCCAGAATCCAAGCTGGTCCTCGCCACCTTGAGGAGCTCTGTGCCTCAGTTTCCCCACCTGTACAATGGGGATAACAGTCCTGTGCCCTGCCTCAGATGGGGGTTGGGGGTGGGGAAGATAAATCCAGTACAGACTGTGAGGTGCTCTGATACACTGGGAAACTTATACAGATACAAACATGGGCTGGGTTTGCAAAAAGCCCCAAGGGGTTTAGGCACCCAGCTCCCACTGATTTTCAGTCCAGGCACTTTTTTAGACCAGGGCCCTTTGGGGCTGCTCCGAAATCCATTGGAGTCAGTGGCGATGGGGCAGAACAGGTTTTGGGGCAGGCCCTGTGTCTCCACAGGGTTCTGGGCTGGTGCTTTTACCAGCAACTCTCACAACATTGACCGGTCGCCCTCACTCCCACCGACGCTGCTTTTCAGTTTCCCACTTGGTGTCTGAGAAGGGACCGACCCCGGCAGCCCCTGGGAGCAATGGAGCTGGGAGCAGAGATACAGCGACAGCCCCTGGGAGTGACAGAGCCGGGAGCAGAGATACAGCGACAGCCCCTGGGAGCACAGACACCTGCACAGCAGAATGCAGCGCCCGCCTGGAGCGTTTCCGATCCCAGCTGTGCCCCCCGGCCCCGCCCGGCCCAGCAGGTAACCCCAGCTCGTGTGTCTCTGAGCCGCCCTCCGCCCCGGGCACGGCCAGTGGGAACCCAGCTGCCGTCCCACCCCCTGGGGATCCTGCAGGGCAGGGACACGGCGCCCCCTGCTGGCTGCACCGATCTAGCCACCAGCCCCGCTCGGTGCCAGGCCATGAATGTACCTGCCTCAACTGGGACTGTGCATGGGGCAGCGACATCTAGTGGCCATTCTGGGTAATACCCAGCCATGAAGATCTTAATAACAATGTCATACAAACTGGCCAATTTTTTTCAGTGTGTGTGTGTGGGGGGGTCACATCTCACTAGTGAGATTGTCTTATGGTTCCACCCCCTCCTATTCCCAGGCATTTGGGCCCCATGTCCCCTTCCATTCCCCATCACCCTGGGCCACAACCTCCCATCCTGTTCCCAGTTTAACACCACCCCTTCCCCCCAGTTACTCCAGGACCCTTCTAGGCCATTCTGGCAGTGTAAAAGGGTCTGAAAGTGGGTCCATAGGCCCCTGAGAATCTCCCCTGTCCTGGGGGGGCCTCTCCAGCTGGTGTGGAGCTGGGGTAAGGGCCCTCACCCACCCTGTTCCCAACCCCCAAAATGGGGGGCAGATTGGTAGTGTGGCTAGAGTGCAGTGCACTGTGGGTGTTCTCTTCTCCCCAGGGCCCATACGGGAGCACTGGATAAGGCAGAGCAGCCCCGAGGCTGCTGTAACTGACACCAGGAGCCAGGCAGGGCCTGACCCAGCCCCAGGGGCACAAAGGGGACTCAAACCCATTTGAACCCTGTTCCTGCCCCAGTCGCAGGATGGGAGTAGCTGGGAACGATGCCCAGAGTGCTCAGAGCATTAATGATGCCTGTCTCTCTGCAGGGGGCCCCGGGTGCAAACTCTGCCCCACGGACTGGCAGCTGCGCGGGGACAAGTGCTACTGGGTCTCCAGAAGAAGTAAAATGTGGAGCGAGAGCCACACCGACTGCTCAGCGAGGGGCTCCCAGCTGCTGGTGATCCGGGACCCCAAGGAGCTGGTAAAGGGGCTGATACCTTCCTGCTGGAGCTGCCCCTGTAGGACTGGGCCTTGGGTGCAGAGTCCAGGGGCGTACATAGGCTACATGGTAGGGCTGGGATTTTAAAAGCTGCCTAAGGTATTTGGACACCCTGTTCCCATTAATAGTTAATAATGGAGTGTCCAAACCCCCTAGGTGGCTTTGACAATCCCAGCCTAAATCACTAGCCACAGGATCAGGGGCACACAAAGGTGGCTTAAAGCCACTGGTGCCCTCCCCCTTTTGGGGTGTGCCCGACACTGCTCAGCTGGAGAGAAGGGCTGGGGGTGTGTGAGGACAGGGGCTACAGAGAGACAGGGGCTGGATGGATGGAGAGAGGGGTGTATATGGGGGATAGTTGGATGGATATATGGGTGTGTATGCGGATAGATGTATGGGGATGAATAATGGGTGTATACAGGGATAGATGGACAGACAGACAGACGTTCTGGTCCTGAAGTTGTTGACAACCTTTATTCACAAAACAAGAGCCCGACAGCACGTCTGGTCACCAGCTGCCTGTCACACACTCACTGCAGGAGTTCCTAAAGGACCTGACACAAGATTCAAATCAGTTCTGGGTCGGACTGTCCGTCTCCTCCCCGGAGAAGGCCTGGACCTGGCTGGATGGCTCCCGGCTGGATCAGACCCAGTGAGTGATTCCTTGAGTCAAACACTTTCCCTCCCCTCCGTGGGCAGAAGGGGCCAGGGCCAGGGATGGGGGAGGTTTGGGGGGAAGGTCGGGAGCTCACGGGGAGCCGTGTTCAGTGTCAGACGATGCTGAGACCCCAGGAGGGGGGCTGGGAGGCCCGGCTGAGAAGGGGGCTGGGTGGGAGCAGACATGTCCATGGGGCAGGGAGAGATTTGCACATCCCCCAGCCACAGAGATGGTGGTTGGAGCCCTGGAGCGGGGGAGGTGGCCCAGAGATGGGTGTGGAGTGAGAAGAGCAAAGGGGCCAGGCCAGAGCCCTGGGGATCCCCCAGACAATGGGGCGGGGGGGGGGAAGGACGACCAGAGCAGCCAGAGCAGCAGGAGGGGACCAGGAAGGGGCAGCGTCGGCCCAGCCCGGTGGGGAGGAGACGCGGAGCAGGGGAGGGAGATGGACAGGGCCTAGCCCAGCAGGGAGGATGAGGCTGGAGCAGGTCCCTGGGCTCTGGGCAGGGAGAGGCCGTTCGAGACCCTGGCCAGGGCCCTGACAGTGGGGAGAGGGGGCAGCCCCAGGGCAGAGCTGGAGGAGACAACGGCTGCGGATCCCGTTAGAACAGGGAAGAGCCGCTACCGACTGCGTGTGATGGACCCACACGCGCTGACAGGGGCCCTCTCCTTTGTCCCGCAGGTTCCCGGTGTCAGGCCCGGCTGAGGGGAACAGCTGTGGGGCGGTGAAGGGGAATCAGCTTCATTCTGACACCTGCAGCTCTGTATTTCAGTGGATTTGCCAGCGAGATGCCGTCCCGCTCTGAGCAGGGTACGGGGGAGACCTCAGAGCGCGGCACTGTTAGCCCCATGTCACACATGGGGAAACTGAGGCACAGACACTGACCTGCCCAAGGTCACAGTGAGTTTGTGGCAAAGTAAAAGTGGAACCCAGGGGGGTCTGACTCCCAGCCCCCCTCCCTCTAACCCCCCAGCCCTTCCCCAGGGCTGGCTCTAGGTTTTTTGCCACCCCGAGCAAAGAAATTTTTGGCTGCCCCCCACCCCAGCCCTGGGCTCTCCCCCGCACCAGTGCCCTCCCCCACCCGTGCCTTCCCCCACCCGCATCCCCTGCTGCCCCAGCCCTGGGTTCTCTCTCCCACCCCCACACTCCCTGCCGCCCCAGCCCTGGGCTCCCCCCCAAACGTGACCTCCTCCTTCACCACAGCAATCCCCGTTTACACTTACAGTGGGGATCAAACTGTTTCTCCTATTTTTATTTCACTTGAGTGTAAATCTCGCCCCCCCCGTCCCCCGCAACCCCATCTTTAGTCCTCCAAATGCACATGGAAGGCGTAGGGACTAATCGTCAAACCCTGTACCCGGAAAGGGATGGGGATCTAGTAAAGAGGGTTCAGGCAGAGGAGCGGGTGTGGGGGCGCTTGGGGGCTCTACACTGGCAGAGAAGCGGGGTGTGATGTACTCGCGGAGGAGGGTGGAGGAGGAGAGGGGGTATCAGGAGGGTTGTGGGAGAAGAGGTGCAGGGGAAGGGGGAGGTGCGGGAGGAGAGGGCTGGGGGAGGGTACAAGGGGAGAGGTGCGGGTGAAGGGAGAGTACAAGGAGAAGAGGTGTAGGGGAAGCGGGGTGAAGGGAGGGTACAAGGGGAGAGGTGCAGGGAGAATACAAGGGGAAGGGGATGTGGCGAAGGAGCGATGGGGGGAGGTACAAGTGGAGGGGCTGGGAGCGGGACGGGGGGTGCAAGGGCTGAGAGGGGCAGGTACTGACAGCTGCTTCCCCAGGCCCGAGCAGGCAGAGCCGAGAGGACAGACACTGACCCCCAGGTGCCTGAGCCGCGGGGGTCCCCCGGCAGGGCAGTATTCCCCGCTGCCCCACTCGGAGCCGGGCTCTGCCTCTCCCCGCCCAGGGCAGGCAGCGTGGGGCTGAGGCGGGGGAGGTGCGCGGCGGGCTGGGGCCGGGGGCAGGAGGGGGCAGGAGGCGGCAGCTCCCTGGCAGCTCGGGCTGCCCAGCCACTCGCCCTGTCAGCGCGCGAGCCGGGATCTGCCCCCTGCCCAGCCCGGCGGCGCCTGCACCGCCCCCTCGGGCGGGGAAACGCCGCGCCGCCCTGGGGAGACTCAGAGCAGCAGGACCCCTCCCCCTCCCTGCATCCCGGGCCCCACTTCCCTCCCCCCTCCCCGGCTCCTCACCCCCAGGCTGGGCTGCAGGTCAGGCTGCCCGGCCGCTGGAGAGCCGGAGCATCATCCCCCGGAGCTGAGCCCGGCTGCGGCGGCGAGAGGGGCTCAGCTCCG